TATATATATATATATATATATATATAGTCACGGGACGTGGAGTATAGTGTGGGAGTGGAGTCAAGGGAATTGTAATAGATATGTATCATATGGAGGGGAAAGTGGGGCGGCGGATTGGGGAGGGGGTAAAAAGTATAACTTTGAGGGATAAAAAGTATAACTATTGCACTGTGTTGTACAGCTGAAACTAATTGTAAAAAAATGTTTATTTCAAAATAAAAAATAAAAAAAAGTAAAAAAGTAAAAAGAAAAAAAAAAGCAGGGGCATGTCCTGTTTTTTACTTTTTCCTTCCAATGGGCTAGAAGACAGATGTGATCCCTATTAACTGATAAAAGACGTCAAGGAGCCTCTGCATCTTTGCATTTATTCACACCTGAAACAGTAACAGGCTGGTATTAGTAAGCCAGAGTCTATTCCCCACATTAGCCACAAGTACGGGAAACATATAAAATAATGGTGATGTGCACTGTCTGTATCCAAAAATATGTAATAAAGCAATGTAAATAAAATAATTCAGAATAATTTAGTAATCAATTTTTTCAGCTTACCTCCTTGGATTCCCTTTGCCGTTGCCGTTTTACCAGCATTATCAAGTCCCACCATCACAAGAGTCACTTTTCTTAAAAGAATAAAAATTTAAAAATCACTTTCTGAATTATTTCAATATTGGGAAAAAACAAAAGTAAATTCATTCATTCAAACAACATTGAAGGAGCATCTACTGTGTACATGACAATCTATTAGCTACTAGGGGTAAAATGATAAATAAAATACAGATCAAAAAAGCAAAATTTATGAATACCTTTAAAGTGTCATCCTTTTGTTCTCCAAGCAAAAAAAAAAAAAAAAGGGGGGGGGAATTATACAACACATAACAACCCTCCCACCCCAAAAAAAGAAGAACTAGGGAAAGAAAAAAAAGAGAAACGTAGGGAGGGAGGTGGATTCTAACATATGGGTTATTTATCATGGCTAAAGACTCAATTAATTTGCTGGTTAATTAAATTCTAAGGATTATCACAAATCTATTTTTTCTTGTAAAATTACATAAGAATTCTAGGCACTACTCAACTCTGCTTTTTTAGATATGGACAGCACCTTACCAAGTATAAATCTTTGTATAGTAACATGATTATTAAGTGCTAACATTTTGAAAGAGGACTACAATTATAAAGCTTAAAAGTTTCTGATGATATAAACCTCACCAAGTCAGAAAACAAAATACAGTCTAGTTCAATTTTACAACTGAAGAAACATTAAGCCCAGAGTCATAAGACATAAGACAATGAGTATAAGTCAGAACCCGAAAGTAATTCACCTAAACCCTAGGGACTTGTTAAACCTGGGACAGGTATAAAGGAACAAACCTATTATATTGGTTCCAATAACTTGATGATTCTATCTGCCACTAAAGCTCATTTCTGTTCTAGGACAAACCACAGCACAATATAAGAGGTAAGACTGTGCATTAACACCATGGATTTGGGGATATAGAGAAAAAGCCACAGCATAACATGGCTGTCATGATAAAAACCACAGGACCACACTCCTATAGGGTAGAGTCAGGGTTTCTGTCAAATACAGTCATTCTTCACTGGCAATCATTCCAAGATGGGTTAAAAAACACAACTTAGATGGCAAGAAAGGATGTTCTTTTATTCTTTTATCTCTCTGGGCCTGGCTTTCTTGGATCTGGGCTTTTTTTTTTTTTTTAATTCCAGATGTGTTCAAAGGCTCCATATAACAAAGAGAAAGGACAGAGATGAGGCTGTGAGGCAGTCCAGTTATGGGTCGCAAAATGAGGACGAAGAAACTCAGTCCTGTAAAAACCAAACTGGTCGTTTATTAAGCTAATAGTTACTGACCATCTTTTCTACACCAGACAACAGTGTTTTAGGTGCTTAGGATACACCTATTTGGTAAAATGACCACAACAATGAAAAACAAACAAAAACAGATAAAGAAACTCTTCCCTTATTAAACTTACATTTTAATAGAAGGAGACAATTAATAAACATAAAAAATAAGTAAATTACAAGTTATACAATATGTTGCAAGGTGATTAAGTACTATAGAAACAAGAATAGAGCAAGGTGAAGGGGAACAAGGGTGGGGACAGGAGGCGGGTTGCAGTTTTATGCAGGGGGATCAGGATAGACCTCATTGAGCAGGTGAAGTCTGAGCAAGGCTTTGAAGGAGGGAGTTCAACATGCAAATATCTGGGGCAAGAGAGAACTCTGGGGCAAAGGCAGGACGGTGGGGACATGCCAGAATGTTCCGGTATAAGCAAAAAGGGCGGTGTGATAAAACCCAGTGAGAAAGGGGTAGGGAAGAAGAACAAGAGATCAGAAACACATCGAACGCAAGATCCATAGGGCCTTATAATCCATGGTGAGGGCTTTGGCTTTTATGAGTGAAATTCATTTACCCTCCATGTTAACTTCCTTTGTCTCCAGGAGCCTTAGTCTTTTTTAAATGTTTCAACCATCGCTACTCACCATGTGGAATAAAAGGAAGTATGTTCACACTTGAGTCAGTGCAAGAATAAAGTAAGTTGCAATTAGCAGCATTCCCACCACGCCCCATCCCCAGTCAGCCAGTGGTGGGGTCAGTGAGAATGCCAAAGAGACCAACAGCAGGTTATGAACTGAAGGAGCTGAGCTCATAGGTGAGGTCTAGGTACTTCTATCCGTGTGGAAATAGTACCTGCATTATCAACTTTGAAAAATATGAGCTTACTACTTCTTAAGGAAGCTGTTGAGATAGTTAAGAGTATAAGTTTATTATTTTGTTTGAAGATTTCAAATATCACAGAACAAGATTGAAGTACAAGATAATTTTTTAAACAAAATATAGTAAATGTCTATCCAAAAAAGATGAATAACATAGCATTTTAAACAATATTTTGGAAAATTCAATATACTAGATAGACAATGAATTAGACTAAAATTATATTAAATCTAATTCAATTGCTCTTTAATAATTTACAATGCATTTCAAGATCTATAGTGCTTCAAACATCACCATGAACCAAAACAATTACTTTTAGGAATAAATCACTATTTTATGCTTGTTTGCATCATTTATTCTATAAATATTGATTAAACACCTATTATACAGGAGCAAACAAACACCCACAATTCCTAGCTCTCATAAACCTTAGAGCTTAACAAAAAAATAGGCACTGGAGAGGTAATTATGTATGATGACTGTTGTAAAATACAGGCAGCCACAGGGAGAGACAGCAGGCAACCGCGCCTATTCTAGAAGTCACAGAAGACCATACTACAAATCTGAGTACAGCAACTGTGTCAGCAGTTCCCAGAAACATCATAAAACCTTTTCCTATTCCTTATGAGCCAAAGTAAAAAAATCTCAAACATATCTTTTCAAGGAAAATGGCCCCTTATCCTCTATTACCCAGGTAGCCTCTTACATTCCAGTTAAAAAAAACCCAAAAACTATCAAATTATTATTATTGCACATTGCTCTTAAAGCTAGCTACCAAGGAAAACATTGGTAAAAGTTTTTTAATAGGATATTAGGTTCAAACAAAAAAGTCCTTCAAACATGAAAATCACTTTGGAAAATTGTAATCATGCTGAGACTGGCACAAAATAAGCCTCTGTGGATTTCTATTTTCACTTTGACAAACCTTGCAAGTAGTTAATTTTTAAGATTAAGCCATATACTTAAAAACATGGTTTTAATTAAATTTTGAGGTAATTAAAGCTTTAATGAATAAACATAACATTAGCAGTACAAATAAAAATCACAGCGTGAATTAAGCAATGCCTAATAACAAAACATTACATTTATATGTTCATAATATAATACAATGGGTTTAAAAGGTTAACATTTACCTAACACTCAAAATTCTATGCTACTCTTTAAATAATGAAGAGGTACAATGTAACACATGCTAAAATGTACATGCATTATAGCTTTTTAAGGTATTATTACTGACTGGAAAGTTTGGCTATGGTATGACAACACTAAGATGAAAGATTGTCTATGTATTTTAATCTTACGATTATTGATCAAATACATTAGCCCTTCAATTGAAAAAAATAATATACACTGTTCTTAGGTTTACAGTGTCTAGAAAAGCTGATGCTAGCGATAAAATCAATCATTTAATTACTTGGTCAGACAGAAATTCAATAAAAGTACATTAGGCATTAGGTATTACAGACACGAAAATGCCTGAGACATGTTTTCTATCCTAGAGTGCTCAACCTCTAATGAGAGTGACTAAAACATAAACAAATATCAGTACACTGTGACAGGATGGCAGCTTAAAATGCTCATCTATATACACTAGATGCTACAGGAAAACAGAGCAAGGGGGCTTTATACAGCCTAGAGATACAACAGAAAGTCAGGGGAGCTTCTTACACAAGGTGATGTCTCAGCTAAGTTCTTAAAATGGAGAAGTTTGCCAAGCAAGGGGAAGGTGAAAACAGAAAAAGGAGGAAAAGATTCCAGACTGAGAACTTGGCCTAAAAAGCCACCACATCAAGGAGGTAAGAACTGGCAGGGTGTTGAATTGCTAAACCCAGGGGTTAAGAGCACAGTTCAGTAGAGAAACCTTAAACAAAAGGAGAACATGCTTGTTAGACTCATACATAATCACAAGTCAATACAGCTATGATTGAGTCTAATGGGAACTTGACATATGTCTACCTAAGGAGCCAGTATCATCATATAGCTAACAATATGACCTTTCCAGTAGTTGAAAGTGACCACTGTACTCTCATTACAGTTATCCTGGAGTCTTTAATTATATCCCAAACTAGAAAGGTTGAAAAGGAAAGGGCTCTGGTACTCTAAGACATATGGTATACCTGACTAGTAATAAGTAACATAAGTAGGATTGTCAGCCCTCACTGACATATAGCCACAAACCTGGTGTTAGAGAGACCTGTGTTCAAGTCCCAGATTTGCCATTTCCAAGCTATATAACCTGAGGCACACTGTTTAATTTCTCAGAATTTCATCAGGAAAATGGGATAATAACAATATCCATCCCATAGGGATGTGGTGAAATTAAATAAGACAGTGCAACTAAGGTGCACAATGCCTGTGGCACAGAGTAAATGCTCAGCCAAGAGCTAGCCCTGTTACAGCATAAATTCAAGACTGGGCATTCACCAGATGACACGAGAGATGGGCAGGGACCAGATAACTGAGGATTAATGGGTTCAGTTTTGCACTTGTTGACAGTGATGCTTGTCTCACACTGAAGTCTGAAGCTCGAGGAGGGTTTGTGAGACACATATGTGTATGTGGTAGTTGAAACTATGAGGACAGATGAAAGAGTCCAGGGAGAGACAGGAGGGCGAGGAGCCAGGGGACAGGGAGCATGGAACCCTGTGAGCCTTTGAACAAACCCTTAACATTATGGTCAGAAAGAAATGAGGAGGACAAAGAAATGGCAGCACTCGTTGGGAACAGTTTCCAGAAAGGTTAAGAAATGAACAATATCAAATACTGCAGTTCGGTAAAATAAAAGTATGTTTTTGGTAATTGCTCCAAATTAAGTACCTCAGAAATAAATGCTCTCCGTTTTCCCAAAGCCCTGCAATAACCAATGCTTTGAATTTATATAGTATGTCT